TATATCACTAAAGCCCAGTTCAAACTATGTGATTTTAGCCCGATTTTTGGCATGATCTGCTTGACGTAAGGTGTTGTGGGGATTCGTAAACAACAATGGTCGTCAGGACACAAGATTCAATCTTTTCATCTCGTGTAGTGGAGTAGTCATGCACGTCTTTGTCACCTTTTTCTCCTATGATGAGTTTGCATCCTTGAACTTAATATTTAGCCCCTAAAATGTGCATTTTACCAGGGGAACCCCAATCAACAAACATGTATTTTACCCCCCAGAATGAGCTTTTTACCGGGGGACCCCCCTCGAAATGCGATTGGGCTAGTTTTGAGTAGCAATGGGCGGGTTTTGTTGTGAAAACCTGGCAACCCTGATGAAGTCTGTCAACTCAAATCTGCAGACTGGCTCTCATTGTGTCTAAACCGAACGTGACAGAGCGACCGTTGCAAATCATTTGAACTTTGTGTGAGTACATCATAAATCGAACGAGGCATCTATTTACTGTTGGGGATTTTTCGCACCATGCCACATCCAGTGTGGGTGGCATCACTGATCATAATGGGTTCTATAGTATTTTGTCGCGTTGCGCCACCGCTCACGTCCAGTATAGACACGATGTCTGACTTTCGTCAACTAGCGTCAACTTCTCCATGGAGAAAGAGGAATGAGAGCGAGAGCTTGTAAACTGCAGGTGGCAGTTGATCGGAGAAGACCAGCACAGACAAAAGCTGATTCATTTAGAAACAAAGCAAGTGCCTGACTTTATGGATGCATCATTGAATCAAATGATTCTTTCAAAACATTAATTTAACAACTGTGTTGCTTCGAGATGCACAATTGTTCTTCTCAACATTTTTTTTGTGGAACTGTTTTCATTGAAGAAATGGGAGAAAAATACAATGTTGTGTCTAAACTCACTCAATGTTAACTTCTTGTTTGTTAAACTCCTTAAAAAATATATAAAGTTCAGGGATTGGATCCAGATGGATGGTGTTCGGCCTGGTTGCTGTTGGTGACACACAAATCACTTTTTGTACTTGCTTTCTCTCTGCAGCAATGTAAGTTGTTGTCACCTCTGCATGAGAGTCCATTAACCAACATGAGGGATGAGCAGAGCTGCCCAGAGACACTGGAAGAGCCCTCCGTTCAGCTGCACAAAATGCACGGTCAGCATTTCTCCTGCCGTTTTCCTCTGGAGTCCTCTCCTTTTTCTCAATGGTTTCTTGAAACTTTCTTGAAATGGGTTCTTCACGTTTTCTAGGAGCTAAGTACGATGGCAGTGAGCTATGCAAGCCTATTCAAGATGCCAAATCCAACCTGCCTAAAAAGGTACCAATGCTTTATGGGTAGGAAATGGAAAATGCACTCTTTGGTGTTCTCTCCGATAACCTGGACCTGTTCACGTGTGTTTAAGGATATTGTCCTAAAGCATGCTGACTCCTGGACAAGCTTGGGGAAGATGGCTACTCAAACTCCTTGCCAAATCAAATCATCCAAGGAAAGTTTCCAGCAGTTTCGCAAAGTTGCCATGGAGAAAGAGGAACGAGAGAGAGCTCGTAAACTGCAGATGGAAGCTGGTCGAGAGAAGAGCAGCACAGACAAAAGCGGGTATAAACAGAATCTTATTTTTTAGGCAGCCATGTATAAAGTTATAAAGTGTTATGTAAGTTTCATTTTGGAGGAGTTTCAATCTCTGCATGGCTGGAGACATGATTCCAGCTGACCACAGCTTCCCATGGCTCGGTTTCAAAACCTAGCGAGTTTGACAAATGCATTCTAAGTTTCTATTCTGTCATTAATTTGCAGTCATATCCCCATGGCCCACATTTGATTATTATACGACTGTTCTCGCTGATGTAGCTAACAGTGTGGCCTTTTAATGATTTCTAGTCTGACGCAGCAGCTTCAAAAAACCAAGCTGGACTGCCCGCCTTCAAAGCCAGAAGTGGAGTCAGCAGAGC